ATAAATGTAATTTCAAATGCAGATCTCCGTGTTAGGTCAGCTTCCACTCAGCTCAGAAGCGGCGAGGTAGAGGTTACTTTCAACACTTTTTAAGTTATTCCAGTGTTGTACTATTACAATGTAGCCAACGGACCTCTTATGTTCTCTCCTCTCTCTGACTCAAAGCTGTCCTTGCTCTGCTCTATTCAGGTGTGTTACAGCGCCACTCCAAAGCCTCATTTCCTAAAGTTGTGAGTTTGAGAGTTTTAATGAGATCCTGACCCCTATAAATACAGGCTTTGGTTTGTCGAGGTATTTGCTCAGTATGAAAGTACAGAATACACATAATATCCATGTCTGCAATCTGAAAGTGTTCTCACTTAAAGAAGCTGAAAATGACACAAAGCAACCAAAAAGCTCGTGCCAACAGAGACATGTCATATAATATCACGACACATGATGGCTTTAATGTTGGGGTGGATATGGACATGTCGAGGAAAGGTATCAACAGTCAGTGTTTTGGGATTCAAGGCTCTCTAGGTTTACTTTTCATTTGTGCTGAAAGTATGAATTGATTGTCAGAAAGTGGATCGACAGCAATCCTTTGACTTAAAGTGAGTTTATGCTCAAACAGATGTAGTTAGTACGATGTGTTGTGTGACCATGCCAGGAATCAAAAGTGTTTGTAGTTGTTCCTAACGGCTACACTGCGAGACCATCCCCAAACGCTGGCGGTCGTTGTACCGAGAGGGACTCGGACTCGGTTGTACATGTTGAGTTCGAGAGCCTCTTAAACTGTGGGAGAGACCAGCCTTTGACCCAGCCTTTCCAAAAAGTCAGCCGGTTTCAATTATAAACAAAAGCATTTAATACTACAGAAGCTAAAACAATTGCAAAGTGAAGTACATTATTTACAGTATCTATAGATATATATTCTACGCAGAAAAGCATTTACCCACGTACCAGCCTGGGAGCACACCAGCCACCAGGTTGAAACAGGAGCAAGAGAGCGAATCTTTTCCTCGCACTTCCTCTTCACAGTTTGAAAACCCCTCCCATATTGTCCGTCTTAGTTCCTATTCGCTAAACCCAGCAGACTCCTCCTCGGCATCAGTCTGACAGGACCCTGGCTCGGGTGCTGTTCCTTTGGTGTCCACTGTAATTGCCTGTCTGAAAATCCCTGTCTGTCCCTTCGCTACTCTTAAACATACTATATAAAGATAAGGATTTGCAACTTTTGTCAAAAACTTCACATGTTTTACAAGCATAGGTGGCACTTCCCAAGTACTTGCTATCATATTATTCTCCACCTCTAAAAATACTACAAATTCTACCAAGAAACATTTCTAACTATAAATTCTAAAACACACCTATAATTATGAATCTTCTAATTATGAATTCTAAAACACTTCTAATTATGATTTCTTAATTATGAATCATTAAACACTCCTATTATAATTTCTTAAAGCACACTTCTAAACCTAAATTTCCTACATACACATGAGAAGTGACAGAAATAGGACTGGAAATAAGAAAATCCACCATCTGACGTGTAGTTCAGATAAGCACTCTGGCAGCTTAAGAGTCTACAGCCACGGTAGGATGTTTACATATAGTGACGATGCTAACATGCTGATGTTCAGCAGCTGCAATGTGACCATGGTCACCCCATTTTGTGACTCCTGATAAGGGCCGGGAATCAAATATTGTGACCAAATACCTCAATATCCATATTGCACCAATATTGTTGGGTTGACTATTGGTGCTTTCACAAAATCTTTTTGATAAATAATCATCAGTAATGTGCTTATAATCACAAGGCAAATAGAGCGGCTAGAACAGTCTGGGTAGGTTTAGTAAGATGACATCATTTAACTGTAATACTGCCTTTAAAACCAGTAATAGGCAACATTTTGAATACAGAGTGACAGTCAGCACATATCTAACTGCCATGTTTCATTTCTGAATATCAATTTAATGGGGATGGCTTTGCTAGATGTGTTTTCCTGAAGAGTCACTGATGAACTTCCTTATTGGTGATGAAAATGGTCATTTCTGGTCTTGAACTTGACAGCGTTTTGTTGCTCCTTGTTAAGTTAACTTCATCCAGCTTTACAGCGTACGTCCTTGACTTTAGTACAGAAGTATGCAAAAGAGAACAACATGCCGGCCTGAGAGATTGAAGCGGCCACAAAAATGTGAGGAAAACACCATCAAAATAATTCACGAGGAAATTAATTAGTTTCCTCAAAAGGGGAATGTAACATAAGACACCTCTTTTTTAAGAACTTGATGTTTGTATGTGTCACATATTATCAAAATGTCCCTGCATGATGAATATTAAGCTATTGTGCCTCACTTTTAAAAAACTGTGCTCTGATCTCCTTAAAGGGCAAAACTGATCTGCTAGCATGACATATTAATATTATTTTCCACTTTCACTGAGTTCAATCTTTTAAGCAACTTCAGTCCTTTAGTGCAGGAAACCAGCAAAAACACATGTATGTGTGTGTGTGTGCCACCATAGGACAAACAAACATCTGATGTAATAGAACGCATGGTTCTACGCCATGATGGCCGTCGGATCAAAAGGTTTTAATGGGTGTCAATGGGGAATTTTTTATTTTAGATTTATTATATGAGCTCTGGTTAAACCTACACAATTAAAAAAATGTAAATAAAAAAAATCACACCTTTGCAAAAATGTACGTCATATACATCAAAACAGCCAAGTGTACAACTAAAAAGCCAAACTTTTAGTTGGCTAGTGATGCACAGGGGTCAACTAAAGTTCTTAGTTCTTATTGAAGAAGTAGCTCTGTCTGCCCCCGATCACTGCGTGGAGATCATTGTACTGCAGCTTGTTAATAGCACACTGAATAATGTTCCAGAGGACTTTGTTCCCTGCCAGTAAACATTTCCGGGGGAAGGGGGGGGGGGATTGTGCAGTGAATATTGCTTTGTTATTAAATCAGTCGTGTGAAATGCTGCTGAAACAATGGTGTCATCAAAAAAAAAAATCTGCCTCCCCACTTGTGAAGTGAAGCAACGGCAACATCTGCGCCGTCAGATAGTCACGGCTGCCAATAATATTTACACTACACATACATTTCTTCTCAAAGCAATGACATGAGGAGCTGATGAGGCTGCTGTCATGACAAAGTCCTGCTCAGTCTGCCACATTGTCGTTGCTGCCAGCAGTGTTTTCATTCCCACGTTTTCTCTTCTTTTTTTTCGGAGGGATCTTCTCCACTTTAATCAAACGCCGCGTCTTCGTCTGGGATTCTTAAAGCTCTTGCCGCTGAGCAACGTTAGCACGAGTTTTTGTTTCAGTTCACACTGAGGCAGCAGATCTTTGCTGCTTTGATGGATTTTCCCCCTCACTTTGTGATTCTCAATCCGCTAAACACTTGTAAGACAAGCCTCAATACATGCCCTCTAAATATAGCTAATGCCTCTGCTAGAACACACTGGGCTGAAATACAGTACAGACAAGTTGTATTGTAAGAGCAGTGTATGTACCTCGTCCTTAAGATCATATCGTAGCTTCAACTGACGGATCTATTCACTCGCCTCCTACATTTACTATCTCACCCAAGTGCAAAATGGACAATGATTAACTGCTTTGAGTGGGATTATCATCCCAATCAAAGCTTCTCTTACATTTATTCCGCTTCATTTTCCCCCCAGTTGAGTAGAATTGTTCATGAAGGCTTGTGTTTTAGCATTTCTTTTTTTTAACTTATGATACGTCAAAATAAAATGTAATCCACGAGACAAAATACGTTTACCTTGAAATGCTATTCACCATGTAGAACGGTGAATGTCGAGCGGTACGTTCACAAGCCCTCATCCTTTCTAGACTAATAGATTAAGGAAATGTTCTTGCACATTAAAAAACACTTTCACACTCAGCAGAAACAAAATAAAACTCAACAAAACCCTAATTCCAACAATCACCAACTCCGGTTTGGTTGATGTTAACCCTTACTTCACAGTTAGCCGTATACATCTGCTGGCTCTCTGTGCTGTCATTACACGCTGTCGCTCTCTCTCCTTCATCGGAGGCGAACCACTAAATTACCAAAAGTAAATCCCTAAAATCTTCCCAAATAAACAAAACCAGAAGAACAATCTGCCATTTACCGGCAGCCAATATATTGGTCCACTCAGGGTGGCAGTGACCCTGTATTCAAAACAGAGCTGTCAATATGCCACATACTTTGTCACAATATTAGTTTTGATGTACAACCAGCCGGTGGTTCCCACTTATCAGATGTGAGAATTTTGTAGTTTTCACTATTCCCTGACATTTGATAGACTAAAGGATTATTCAATTAAAACATAATAGCTGAGTTACTGTTAAATCTATAATGACACCTCTGTCAATATACAGTACCGTATATTTTTGTCCATATATATTGCAAATGTAAAAGACTAGCGTTACATGTATTAAAAAGAATCCAAAGATATCAGTTGTCGTCCACTGTGGATATTTACAGCAGTGAAACTATGAAGGTTCACTCTACAAGGCAAGTGTTTCTGTGTTGTAATAAACTGCCCAACCTGAGGTACGATTCACTCAAACTGCTCCCAGCAGCAAACCGTTCACTTATGCAGCGCAGACCAAAGTCAAGGAGCTGCATTGTGTTCACTCCTGATGGACGTCTGGTCACAGTTCCTCTCATGGTTTAATTCAAGGATCGATGACATCGTCTTCTGGCTGGTTCAGTAAATGAAGTTGCTCAAACTAAAGTGAAACCAAGAAAAAGCTGTTTTCAAGCTTTTCTTTTATCTATGATACGGTTATTTTCTGCATGGCTTCCATCTCCATTAACCTACATTTCAATTATTGATTGAAGGACATTTTTATGATCTGTTCCAACCGCTGGATCCTTTCTCTGACATCCTCCATGAGACAAACACCGCCCCACCACTGGTCCAGACCTTTTACTTTTCCCTCTCATTGTAGGTGTATCTTATTTCATTTCTTCTTCTTCTTTAATGTGTGAATCCAACAGCGGGTTCAACGTTCTTGAACCCAGACGGGGACTCTGGAACGGAGGCAGACAGCGAGCCTCAGCTGGCCTTTTACACCGACCCAAACCGCAGCCGCCGCCGGAGTCGAGGTATGAGAAATGGTAACGCCAACAGCGCGTGGGGCTCAGGGGGTAAGGAGGACTCGCACACAGACAGTTTATCCCGCCGTCTGATGGTATTACCGTCGCCATGACGCATGACAAGTAACCTTTGCAGTGCATATATCAGATGGATGGCTCCGTGGTGTTGTGTGTGCTCGTGATTGTGCCCCCTTTTCAAAAGCACATGGAGTTTGTGTCCACGGTGTGCTGTGTATGTACATAGCTGTGTGTGTTTGGAGCATGCAATGCTGATCTCAATCTTGTTTGACTGGAATCAAACAAGTCCACGAGATCAGACGTCGATCTAACGCCATTTTTGAAATAATATTCCACGCAAATATTGTTTCTAAGGAGGAGCCTGTGCAAATGTGTCAGAGAGATGTGGTGCGGCACGCCTTGTCCGTCAGCATGCCGCGTCCTCGCAGCTTCCACGTACAGTAACGGGGTGTGGGAGGAAATAAATGAAATAAAAGAGACAATGCCCTCAGAATAATAGCTGCTGTCAGACGGCGTTACAAGCCTCCACAACGCCTCGGGGCCACTCGCTCCCCCCGTCGTGTGCTCAGGTGCCACAAACACGGCGATGCCTCCAGAAATGTAGCCAACACCTTTAATTAGAGCGAGGCTTAAGAATAGAATAGAGCTGCAGCGCTGCCACTACCATGTTGTTTACATCCAGAGGAAAAAGATTCATGAAGCGCTTCATCAAGTCGGAGGTTTGATGACAATATCGAAATGTTCAACTTCTTTATGTAAAATGGAGATACTTTTGAATGTTATGATAATTCAATTAAATAAAAAAAAGATTAAATGATGCCCCACATTCATATCTTTATAATTCTGGGTGAGTCACTTGATTGAATAAACTAACTTTACACATAATACGATAGGTCAGCGTTCTACTTTGGCTTTTGTTTAAAGGATCGCCGTCGGCAGCAAAACATTGCCAGAGTAATTTAAAAAGTGACAACGTAATCTAGAGTTATTCTACCGGTGAGGAAATAACCCTTTTTTTAAACAGAGTGTGAGTGGCTTTATTCAAGGTCACTGTGACTTGTGTGTGTGTGTGTGTGTGTGTGTGTGTGTGTGTGTGTGTGTGTGTATGCATGCATGCCCCTGTGGATCACGTTTAACACATTCTGTGTTGCACTCTGGAGTAACAGAGATAAGGGAGGCGTTCTCTTCTCGGGCAGAGAGGGAGAGTAGAAGGAAGGTTGCAAAACAACCTCTGAACCACTTTTATTGAGGCCCGTGTCTCTTCTCTTTTGTATTTCATCCCTCACATCCCAGCTTGGATGTTAAAACCCTTCAATGGTAAACCTTATTTCTGTGCCACTGAGCTATCCCGGTCTAAAGCTCCCATAGGCCTTGAGGTTTCTTCATCCTAAAGGTCCTTTTCATGGTGGCTAAGCCCATTCCTTCTGGCTTGTTTGTAAAAACGACTCCCAGAGTAAGCGGTGTGCGTTTGTGTTTGGTGCTGCTGTGTGCATGTGTGTCTGGAGGGGCATGTGTGGGGGGGTAAAAAAAGAAACTGCTTCACACATCTCCATCGTTTTTTTTTCCCCCCCCCCCCCCCCCCCCCCCCCCCGCTCCCCTCCCTGTGCATTTGTCTCCCCCCGGCAGCAGGTTCCCCTCGGAGCCCCATCAATAAGACCACCCTGACTTTGATCAGCGTCATCAGCTGCGTGATCGGCCTCGTCTACTCCTCACACATGTCCTGCAGCCTCTCGGTGCGGGTCATCCTACATGTGCCGGAGCACCTCATCGCTGACGGTAAGACTGTGTGGTTGAAGCCTTTACTCTCACACACGCATACACACACGCATGCACACACACACACATGCTCTTGTGGGTGCTCAAAGCCCAAGGGGGGCTGAGCTGGCATTTTTCCCGCCGGATCCCGGCTCGTTATTTCTCTCAAATGGGACCGCCCGGGTTTTTTGCGGTCGAGCTGAGACAAAGGTAAATTCCAGGTCGAACTCCCACCCCCACACCCCGGTTTCCCATGTGAGACCACACGGCAGATGTGCCCTCAAAGCATCACAGCACATTGAGGCCAGGTCGCAGTGACCACCTGCCGCAAACCCCTCCCTCACTCTTCCCCTCGCGCCCACTGATTCGTCGAACCACCTCGATAATGAATTTCCATGTAACACCTGCGGATGAAGGGAGAAAATAAGCACTGCAGGGGGTCCAAGCACCGGCTCAGTGGGTTTTTTCAGCTGTCAGGGGAGTGAGATGGGAGTGCAGACATGTTATAGACTGCGACTGGGACTCACTCATCTATCATCCAGAGGTCTGATTTGATTCGAAGCGCTGCTGCTGCTTTCCCGGCGGTACGAGCCGGTCTGCCAGGGAGATATTAAGATTCCAGGGAGGCGTCCAGGAGGAGAACTTTGAAAGCAGAGATGAAAGATGATGAATTTGCCCGTTGAATTACAAAACTGGGATTGATTTAGAATGTTTCCATGAATGTCTCCACAATCTCATCAGACTTGATTTCGATGCCACGGCGAATCAGATGAGAATCTGGATTCCGCCACCGGGGGAAAGAAGCTATTAATGCCACAGCTGTGCATGTGTCTGCCCCGGAATACTGTGAAGAAAAGCAGAGAAAACGTGCAGCGACACCTTTCTCCTTGCCTTTCACATCAGGGAAAGTAATCATCTGTTCACGCAGGATAACAACATCTACTGCTATTCAAGATATTCTGTGACAAAGGACAGGACAAACTTCTCTATATGACGAACCTGGAGTCTCAAATATAAATGTGGGCAAGGTTTATCATCTCAGATTGTATTTTGTGGAAAACAGTTTTCCCACTGCCATCTGTGTCTTGTCTGATACGTGTCCAAATGACATCTGAAGCCATCACTGGCCATCCTACCGGAACATAATAATACCAGTCACTCAGCTGCTCATGAAATTTGAGGGATGTTGAAAATATCACAGAAAACGGTACGGAGGGACAAACAACCAAGAGTCTACAGCGTGTTGAGCGGTTTTCACTTAAAACCACAAATGTAATCCTCATAGTGGTAGTAGAGGAACATTCAGGGGATCAACAGAGTCGTTATGATTCATCCTCTGGGAACCATGAATGTCTTTATAATATCTCATGGCATGGTGTTTCAATCTGCGTGGCTATCTTGTGATTGACAGGTCTCTACCACGGTGTAGTCCAGTCTGGGAGCTTTCCGTGTTTTGACCCTTTCACAGTGTGTGTTTTCACTTCATGAAAGTCGATCATGATATCTTGGTTGCCTAAAATTGTCTCATTCAGCGTTCAGCTGCACTTAGCTCCACCCTCTCCGAACCAATGGATGATGTTATGGTGACTTTGTCCACTTTGAGTCTTTGAGTTTGTTTTGACATCAGTGGAAGAGAAGTTTATTGGTCAGACTCTTCTGATGTTCTTTCTCACTAGATAAGTCACTAAGAAGGAAACCCACCATCTGGTGAATTTGTATTTTAAAACACTCTTCCTCTAAACACATGTTATGAGCCGCTGAGTGACTGAAATGTCAAGGTTCCATGGGACGGCCATCTTGGACTGTAGTCAGTTAACGTAAAGTCAGAAGAATATTCCTGCATTCTTTTTTTGGAAACCCAAAACATTTATGTTTGATGTAAGAATCCATTTCATAATGCAAAAAATACAAAAATTGCACATCCAGCATTCAGACATAGAGTACTGTCGGACATGAAATGTGCCATAAAAAGAGAAGCATTGCTGATTGGTGTATAAAGTTTGAAAGATTTAACGAGCAGCTTTATGACTCACCGCAATTAGACAAACAAGATGTGTCCGGCCATTTGCAGTGTGTGCTCTATTTTATAAGTGCTCGTCAAAGGGGACGGCCCTAACTGGGGCGCACAGAGCCGGCCAGCAAGTCATTTAACATGCCCGGTGCATCCGCTGTCTGCAAACGCACGGGGCTGCTGCTAATCTACAGAACGACACCCGCAGGTGTGCGCTGGACTCGTGGCTGTGTTCTTTGCTTCGGCTGGTTGTATTTTCAACTTATTGCATGTTTTTAAATACAACATGAATTAGGAGATATTCCACATATTAATACGGTCCTGCCTGGCCCACTTCAATAAAGTACTGAAGCTGCAAAGCCTTTGATGACTCAGTGTATTCAAAGTAACAATTTGACTTTTATATTGGTAATAATTGAAGATAAATCTGACTAATGCAGTCCTTGTCTCGTTTCTATGGTGGCCTTGAGAGTCAAAACTCAACATTTCCAAAATCCCAATGACGTTCAGCAAAACCAGAAAATGTATCATTTCAGAATGTCAATATGTCCTTATGTTTTCTGTTTTGCTTTTGTGTTTTTGATTGAGTTGTCATTATATTTTGTGAAAATGTTGTGTTCTTTGAATGGCTGTTTTGTTTTGTGAAATACATGTTTGTCCTCCACAATGAAGCCCAATTGATCAAATGCCCAGAATTTAAATATTTACATGTACGAAGCAGCTTATGAGCATTCTCAAGATGCGAAGTCAGTTTCCATACATACTCACCTTCCACTTCTAAACATGTGCAGATACATCACTTTTTATTTTTTATTAAGTCATTACAACTTAAATTGAATGGACTCTTAATTGTTTGCAGACATAGACTATGTGTTGCCCTGACACTGGAGTTCAACACTAATGCCATCACGTTGCTTTATTCATGTCACAAGTGCTGCTAATAACACGCGTGTGAAGATCTGGGGGAGGAACTGCTCATAAGTGTTAGTTGTTAATAGTTGGTGTTTCTTTAAGGTGAAACTGACGAGCAGCCTGAAAAATTTCTGAGTTTGAGGAGAGATTTTTTCTGACAGACGCTCAACATGAGCCGAGTTACCTCCCGGCTACAGTCACCAGGACGTGTGGCCGAGTCAGTCGGTGCCATCACCCTAAATCACAACTGAATTTGTATGAACAGTGTATGTAAAGTCATGAAAAGGAGGGAAGTCCATAACACGATCTCCCACTGCACCATTATGACGGCAGGGTCGAACAAAGGCCCTCCTCCAGTATTGATGCCATTGTCAGAACCTCCACCATTCTAATCCTCACACATTTGAATCCAAACACCGCGGGGAATGTGAACCAATGTTTTCTTCACCGTTGCCTTCCTCCTCTTGGAGCACATGTGTGACTGCAGGGCAACAGAGCGGCAGCCTGTGGTTACTGATGAATCACCAACATTACAGGTGTTGTTTCATCACATTGTCCAACACACTTTCAGTGTTTGTTGCCCTGGCTGGATCTCAGCTCCTGCTTTAATGATACTAACTAATAATGGTTATTATCTTTCAAATATCACAGTAGTAGCTGAGAAGCTTGTTTTGAGGCTTTTATTTGATTTACTGCAAACTATTTCATTTTGAGGGATTTTGTTTTTCCTCACCTCTAAAGCTGTGTTCACACCAAACGCAAAGTGACATTTTGCCTTGTATTGCTGATTTTTGTCGTCCATTAGTGATTAAACAACATCAGGGTCTCAGCGCTGATGGACTTTTATGACACAATTTCTCGCCCTGGTTTAAATATTTAAACGCTCTTATAGGCGGATGGAGTGATTCCCTATTTGCATCATTCGTATCACTTCTTTCCTTCGACTTTGGATAAAATCACGCTGTAGGAAGACTTGTCTTTGTGTTTGGTGTGAACACACCATAAAGTATCTATTTCTTGCATTTCAGTTTGGAGCTACTTTCTTAAATTAAAGATATTTGACCTGCATTGAAGTCCAAAACGTGTCTTAGTGCTGTTTTTATTTTCATATTTGAACTCGTGGGATATTTTCTCATATCGTCCTGCTCTTCCATCCTCCCTCCCCCTGCTGTTTGCTCATCCACCCTCCACGTCCTTCTGCTTCCTCTCCCTTTTCCCCTTCTCTATCCTTCTCTCATTTCTACCCTCTCTCTTGTATCCTTCTATTCTTGTTTCTTTCCATCCCTACTCCCTCCGTCCTCCTCAGGATCCAGGTTCATTTTGTTGCAGGGGAGCCAGCTGGAAGCCTCAGACTGGCTGAACCCGGCACAGATCTTGTTGTACTACCAGCAGAATGCCAGCGGGCCCTGGGTCGGCGAGCTGTGCGGACGACGCCTCCTGGACCCCTGTGAGCACCAGTGTGACCCGGAGACAGGTGAGCCGAGGACACGACATAAATCAGCTCCGTCTCCTACCGGGATTGTTACCATGGTAACCTTATTGATTTTTAATTCAATAAACACGGTCTCTGCTCTCTGGCTTGACCCGCTTCCGTCGTCAAATCCACGGAGAACACAGTGAAGTTACAGTCGGTGATTCGTTGGCTCACTCTTTTATGCTTGCAAGTTAACCAGTAAACATGCAGTAGACTTGACATCTCAACCTATTTATTATGGTGCTTCAGGGTGAACTTTATTTATTTAAACTCTGTTTAACCTCTTTAAATCATATCTAATATTCATGGGGAATAAAAAAACTAACTTAGAAGAAGCCAAACTGATGCTAAACAAGAATCAGGTTATTTGATCATCAACAAAATGTAACATTCTGTTCAACCGTAGTCAGCCCAACTTACAAACCCTGTAATTCTTCAATTGGCTGTCAGACAAACAGCACTGGCCAGTAACACGAGTGGTGGTAACGTCAAGAAGGTGTTGCACTGATAAAGGCTCTATGACCCGATCTCATCGCCTTGTGCACCTGCGATGAAATCAAGTGTCTTCTCATTTTCTGTTGGCATTCAGGCATTCTTCCCTTGGCGTCACACAGCTGGCACTACTTCTTATAAAGCCCGGGTTCGAGAGCGCAAACATTGGTTGATCTAAATCTGTGAAAAAAAGAAAGAAAGCCAAATGTTATTTGCAGCGACAACTGAGCACGAAGCAAAGAGCCTGATGGCATCAAGATGAAAAATGTGAAGAAAAAGTCAAAGAGAAAGATGTCATAGTCGTCCATAGAACATGCAGTAACTTTGAAATGCAGAGCTTTCTAATTAATAATGACTCAATGACACATTAAGTTTGTTACGTCAACTGTATCAAACACAAGGTCATGGGTTCTCTTCCACCGAGTTTCATGAAAACCAGGCCAGTAGTTCCTCCATCATTACAACATGACTTCCATTAGGTTTTTTAGAACTTCAACCGCGTTTCCATAGCGATCTAAAGACTTAGGAATCTTAAGTTAGTCCGCTGACAAACACAAAGCAGCATGCCATGGGGCGAGTCCTGATGGTGGCTGCAGTTCAGTGTTTCTGAATCACATCTTGGGTTTTTTTACTGCTGCACGTTGGACGCAGTGAACGAAGTGCAGAGGAGAGCATCTACCTGCACACTAAATCATCTGCTGAGAGTTTGTTGGTTATTTATTTGTGCTTCAGAATGTAACCGCTGTGAAACAGAGGAAATAACTAATAAGTATTCAGAAAATAACTTGTACAGCACCGCTGCACCTTCTCTTTTATTACAATGAGCAAGAAAGTGAAGACAAAGCCTGACTGTACTTTGAATTATGTTAAAGGAAGAGAAATGCTCTCCCCTCGTCCTCAATGGTCCTGAATCGATATTTTGTTGGTTTATCAATGAAGCGCCGCACGAGTTGAAGATGATCATCCGCGCAAACCCCACCCTGAAGGTTCTTGTACTGCAGACCATGGCCTTTATAGGTGTCAAATGTCCCTTAATCTTAATTTAGACCCTGGTCCCTGCTGTCAAAATGCAGGAGGACTTCCAAAGGTTCTCAGTCCCTGTGGTCCACAGCATTGGCTGTGAACTCCCATGAACACCAAACATCTGACAAACTAGACTGCACCAATTTTCACTGAGATCATTTCATTTTTTGACAAAAACAGACATTTTTTGTGTATCATTAACAGATGGAATCATAAGGGCTTTAGAGGAACTTTTGACTGACATATTACCAGAACCAAAACTGACATGTATGCAACAATGGCTTGTGTCAAGCTATTTAATGTCGAGCATCAAAACATGACACCCTCACTTCTGCTGGTACGTCTTTGCTGTCAGGTGCATTTGTATTGTGGAGTGTTGTGTACGAGCCAAAATACTTGATGTCAATGGATTCTGTTTTCATACAGAGAGAGATAGGGGATATTCTTTACATAAAAGGCAGGTACATCTTATAGTATAGAATGGAAAATTAATGAGGCTCTTACTAATATGAAGTCAATACATTTGTGGTTGACAACAGGCAGAGAGAAGAGAGGTAGCGGGGGTAGACGGTCTTCATGTTCGGGCTGGTTTTGTTGATTTTGAGTTAGTGTTCAAATGTTGGAAGCAGAAATACGTTTCTAAAACATTACGCTTCTACGTCAAAACCTGCAGAGCTAGCATTAGCAGAGTATGTTAGAATGTCAATAACTAGAGTTAGCACTTCTATGCTACGCTGGCTACTGAAGGTCTACTGAATGTCCACTTTATAATTCCTTAATGTCATTGTCTTCTGTCTGGATCTCCAGGTGATGTGGTGGTTCACTTTCACACACTGTGATCTGTAGCTTTAGCTTCTATCTTTAGCTTTTTAACTGTTTTCTCTGCTGAATCAGTTTGACATCGTGGATTTATCCTTCAAACACATGTTGAACAACATGTTGTAGACCCTAAAGGTCTGCTTCTCTCTGAAATTGCATTTTTATTTTTTCCAAAAATGTGATCATATCTATTCAGGGAGTGCAGTTAGTGACAGTGTGGGCTCCATGGAGCTCTGACAGCTTGATGGAGTAGCAGCAGGCTTCGCGAAGGGTCAACTGGAAAAAAACAAATCCCTTTTGATGTCCCAATATTTCTTTTATCCATCAGGGTCATGCGGTTTTGAATTTTAGAACTCAATGGAAAAAAGGGAAGCTCCGCCTTCCTGCATGTGCAACTTAGTGGACAAGCAGCTGTGATATAATAACATTTTTGATGCACATTTGTGTTGCTTATTAACTAATTGTTAAAGACTTGTAATCTCGCTGTGGTTCGAGACGGTCTTGAGTCTCAGTGCAGCAGAAGGCCTCTAGAACTCGCGGCGCTTATCACTCGGCTTTAATTGTTTACAGGTGTGACCATGACTACGCTCCACGGCACTGCAGGGCCGGAAAATAGGAAAATAGATTGTCTGGAGCACTTGACCTGACTTTCCCCCGGGGGAGTTGTCTACGGAGCTGATCAATTAGTTTTCATGTCTCCACTGTCAACTTCATTTGTACTCCAGGGGACAACAGGAAAGACAAACCCTCTAGTTTAAACTGGATGCATTTTTCTGAGCAAAATTTAGAAAGGAAAAATCGTAGAAGATTAATTAATTATGGCAGATAAACTGTCGTTGCGTTTGTCTCGAGCTGCTGGAGCGGGAACAAATCTGGAGGTTTCACAAAGGCCAAGGAGTAATTTGCCAAAATGAGATTTCCTTCTTGGCGCTCCTTCATCTCGTGTGTAATCGTGGCCCAATTGTTTTTGCCTGGATAGATGAAATCAAATTAGAATCCATCAGATTGTGTACTCGAGGAGCAACAGTCCAGTTTTATTTCACATGTCGGAGCAGAAAGAACACAATGAGGTCTCAGCAACAGTGACAGAAAAAAACATGGATTCTTGATACTTAACAGAAAAGCAAACATTAAAAAACCACAGAAGAAAATGAAATAGCATGTCTAATAGGCCTGACTTGGTAATTATGGCAGTAGCACAACCACAGTCATGGCATCCAATATAGTTTAATTACAGTTCAACTCATAAAAGTCTCCATTATTATGATGGAAACATCTGGTGGATTAACACAGCAAAATAAATTGTAACTATGTATTTTACTGCGACAAATTCAAATATATTGTAGAATATCCTGAAGCTGGGCTCCCTCCAGTGTTTTCTCTGTGTCTCCCAGCCTTTGCACACTGACATGGCTCCTCCAGCACCACCTCTGTCCCAGCTCTGTCTGCTCAGTAGATGGAGTTTGGAGAACCAGCACTGACAATGTGATGCATTTAAGACATCTAAAATCAATATCAGTTTAAGTGTATGCTATATTTCTAATGTTTTACCATACCTGCTTTACCATACCTTCAGACAACTCTTTCTGATGGGGGAATCTCATCTATGCTCTCTTCAAAGCCACGAGACTCCTTTGACATAAACGGTCATTCTACCTCTCAGAACACAGGAGTCGCCTCCATCAGTTATAGTTTGTGTTATTGTGCGACTTTGGTTAGTTCAGTTCCACCAAAGACACACAATAACACAAACATACTAATAAATGAATAAATAACACTTTTTCAAGTTTTCAACACTTTAAGCCTAAAAGTTAAAGACCAGCAACTCCTGTGCTCTGTGAGGTAAAATGAAGAGAGCACAGATCCCGGCGTCAGTTCCTCGTCAGTGAGGGCTGTCTGACAGCGTGATACATATTCTAAATATAGAGTACACATGATGTCTGAAATACGTCCACAGCATTGCATTGCTCCCGTCTGTTTCTCTGGCGTGTCGACTTTCATCTACTGCAGTCAACACACTGAAGATGGATGGGTACCCTCATACAACCCCACTGCAAGTAGTCCGAACCCCCCCCCACCCTTTAAAGAGAAACTTTAGAGAGAGACCAGAATGTGTGGTAGAGGAGCCTCCACTGGATGAGCGATGGGTTGGAGGGATGGATGTACTGTAAGCTTGATGGCGTGCCTGAAATGACTGATGGACGTTGAGGGAAAGCAACATGTCAACTTTTGATCGATGCTGCATTATGTACATTTTTTCTTTGCGACCTTAAAAAAGGGAAACTTGAAAAAGCGCAGAGTGAGAAGTAAATCCATCTCAGGACGATGTTGTTGTACTTCTGTCACGGGATTTCACGGATAGGACCCAAACGCAAGACCACAGGAGACAGAGTCCGATGTAACGGATTTTATTTTGAAGGTGTGTGAAGGTGTGGAGCCCGTGGTCCGACACCGGAGGGCAGGCAGATCGACGTTGTGATGTCCCGTGGCTCGACACCGGAGAGTACGCAGATCGACCAGTACTCTACACCCGTAGCAGAGAGGAGAGAGATTAGTTCAGGAAGGAACAACGGGGTTCAATTTACGGAACGGCGGTGGAGGCTACCGAGGCAGAAGACAATACGGACTGACAACCCAGGCCTGCAAGACCAGGGTTGATATGCTGC